TTAAGAAATACTCTAGCGTTGTCTAGATTCGTCGACCGTTACGAAAATCGGATTTTCTTTCAAATTGCTCACTCTTTTTCAATGAAACAAAATTTTCATGAAAACTGACTCTTTAAGGAAGTTTTTGACATAATACAGAGGTCTAGGAGATTTTCCTAAAATTTTCTAGAATTTTTGAAAGTTGGCTATAAAACTGATTTTTCAAGCAAGATACTCAAAATTAAAAGATTGGTGAGGAAATAGGCCAACTAAGGGAAATTTTTTTACTTCTTTTATGATGAAAACATATTAAATAATATATCAATAACTTAGATTTTTAGAGTGATGATGTGTCTTTGGAAATAATGTGAGATATGGAAAGAAAATGTAATTTTGTATCTATTAAGAGAAAATATGAGTGAAAGAAGGATCAACGCTCAACTCATCAACTTTGAACATATGAACGCCATTACAACACATATGAAAATATGATTTTAATCTTCTAATAACAAGTATTTGTAAAAGAAAATAGAAGGAGGGATAGTGATGTGGCTTACTTAAGGCTTGGATGAATTGCTAACAAAACTTTCTCTTTCTCTTCTTTCCTCCACCAAGCTCACTCTCTTTCTCTTTCTTTTTCTCTCAGCCTCTCAGCCGTGTGGTATGTTAAGTGTGTGTTTTTGTGTGCAAAATGCAAAGGGAGAGGTTTTATTTATACTAATTTGTCATAACCTAAAAAAGTTAAAAAGTCACTATCCTATTTAAATCGCATCATCTTATTTAAATCACATCACCTTTCTACCACATCACTTCAAACACAACCCATACCCAATCCATATTTCATAAAAAGTTAAAAAGTGTATTTATTTAGATCATCCCAAAATCACCCCTAAAATTGGTGAACATGGTCCAATTTGCCCATTGGTTGGAAATAGATTAGATATTTTGGATTTAGTTTGAACTTAATGGAATAGTAAATGATTAGAGGCCTTAATTTTGTAATTAATCATGATCTAGTTAGACTTTAATTAGGACATAACTTAAGGTGGAAAGAAGGTTACATGTTTTGGGGTGTACTAGAGTACTTTTCCATGAATTCATGGATTTGTTTGAAAAAAGTGTATATATTTCTTTTCCCCTAGGGTAGCCAGCCAAGATGATGATTTGGGAAGATTATTTTATTTTTTTATTTATTTTCTTTCGTGTACAATTTGATGGAAATTTCAAAATATAGTGTACAATTTATTTAAATAGGTTTAAAGGTACAAGTATATATATAATAGTACTAACTTGGGATCAATTTGTAATTCCATCAAAATGTTAGGGCTTTGGCTTTAATTTATAAATTAGAACATTTATTTAAGTGTAGAATTAAATTAAATTAGGGTTAGATAATCTAATTTGGTTTAGATTTCTCGTTTCGAATAAAAAGGCTATCAATCTATAAACATGATGAAAATAAAATAAAAAAAAAATCTAGGGTTTCAAGTGGTAAACCCATATTTAAGGAGTCATTTAATCAGTATTAGGGAATTAAAAATGATTCCTAAGTTACCGAAATCGATTTGGGTTTGCAAGTTTTCACTTCTAGGGTTAAAGTTGAAATTATTTAGGAAATCAAGGATCTTCATTGCAATATTCCAAAAGTAAGGGAATTTAAAAAAAATAAAATTTTCAAGGGTCTCACAACCTATTTCCCTTAAAATAATTTCGTCCTCGAAATTTAACTATACAGGGCTTTCAAACAATTGGGGGTAGTTTGCTTTCATCGGGAAAAAAAAAAAATTTTTATTCAACACTCCTAAAGTAAGTCTAGGTGGTGCTCCAAATGGGTAGTTATTGATCTAAATCATGGGATCCACCACTTTTATTTTAGACTTTTGGGAGACAAAGTATTGGGTGTCAATCTATAAATGAAATGGAGCAATACTCTTATAACATTGAATAACTTCTCCAAATTGTAATCTAAAGTTCTGTCTAAACTCAAATTGCCCAAACAGTAGTGATTGGGAGCCCGAAAAAGGTTCCCCCGAATGCCCCGAATCTACGAAACGACGTCGTTTTGTCGTTGTAAATTTTTTTTTTTTTTTTTTTTTTTTAACACGTTCTATTCTACCTGTTTTGTACAATCTAAAAAAATATTACAAACAAGTTTCATAAACATATATATATATATAAGTATCAATCAACCACCAAAATATTATTTCAAACATCAAAAAAACTATTCATAAGTTTTGAGCATCCAAAAACTGTATGTACATTCCAAACCATCTAAAAACTATGTTTCTAAACATCAAAAATTGTCCTCAACTTCAAAATCATCCAAAAAGTTCTAAATTATTGATATTTAAGATACTACATTTTGCAGGTCAAAAATGGCAGAAAAAAAAAAAATTTCGAGCCACATTCGAGCCAGGCATTTCGGGCCCTCAAACATTTTCCTTGCCCAAATTGCACCAAAAATAGAGTTTTTTCTTCTTCTTTTTGCCTCCGTTTGGGAAATGGGTTGACTTTTTAGTTTTTTGACTTTTTTGACTATTTTAGTCTGGGGTTAAAAAGTTTGGTTTGAAATAGACTTTTTAACTTTTTGACTTTTTGTTGAGGTATCCATATGTAATATTACTAAACCGCTCCTAGTTTTAAACTTTGTCCTGACAGTGCCGCTGAGCGCGACACGTCACCACTCATTTTACCCTTTTTTCTTTATTTTTTAAATTTTATCATGAATGCGGTGGCTGTGCTATGGAATTGTTAACCCAAATATATTTTTTGGTCATTTTAATATTTATTTATTTTATTACATTAATTTTTTTTGTTTTTTTTTTGTTTTAAATGGTTTTTTCATGTGTTTTTTTATTTTGATTTTAATTTTAATTTTGTTTCATTTTTTGTAAAATGATAAAAAGTGAGATTTTATTTTATTGTCCTGTGTATTTTAATTTTAATTTTTTTTTTTGCAAATGGTTTTTTCATGTGTTTTTAATTTTAATTTTAATTTAATTTTTTTTTTCATTTTCTGTAAAATGATAAAAAAGTGAGGTTTTATTTTATTGTCCTGTGTATTTTAATTTTTTTTTTTTGGCAAATGGTTTTTTCATGTGTTTTTTATTTTTATTTTTTTTTCATTTTCTGTAAAATGATAAAAAGTGAGGTTTTATTTTATTGTCCTGTGTATTTTAAAATTTTTTTTCTTGGAAAATGCTTTGTCATTTGTTTGCATTTTACATGATGTGGAAACTGTAAGGCTCTGTTTGGTTTAGATTTCAAAACATAGTTCTACCACTCATTTGAGTGTGGTATTGGATTGCAGCTTTCAAATCATAATTCTAAACTCATTTCTCAAAACTTATTTCAAACTATAATCATTACTTTTCAAAACTCATAACCAAACATATAACTTAAAACTCTTTTCAAAACTCAAAAACAACTTAATTTTTATTTTAAATATTTTTTATTTTTTATTTTAAATATTTTATTTTATTTTATAGGAATATTTTTAATATTTTAATTTTCATAAAAATATTTTAATATTTTAATTGTAAATATTTTGATTTTCGGAATATGTTTAATATTTTCATTTTCGGAATATTTTTAATATTTTTAATATTTTATTTTTCGGAATATTTTTAATATTTTATTTTTCGGAATATTTTTACTATTTTAATTTTCTAAATAATCTTAAAATATTTTTAATATTTTTAATGTTTATACAGGCCTAAAAAATGAATTGACAGAAAAATTAATTGACATAAAATAATTGACATAGAAGTTATTTGAAAAAAAAAATTATTTGAAAAAAAAATTATTTGAAAAAATTACTTAAAAACAATTAATTGAAAAAAAAATCATTTTTTTATTTGAATATTTAAAAAAAAATTTAGTTATGACTGTTGATCAAAAATACGGATATTGAGTTATAAGTTATGTGTTTGATATTCAATTATAGGTTGAATTAAGTTTTGAAAACTCATCACCAAAGAAATTTTCTTAGTTTACAAGTCACATTAAACTTTCAAAACTCAATTCCATATACAATTCAAAACTCAATACAATACTCTATTAAAAAATCACAACCAAATAAATTTTCTACACTCAAATCATAATTGTACAACTCACAAACTTAAAATATAATTCATACTTTCAAATAATATTTATAAAACTCTACCAAACGTAACCTAAATTTCGCTTACATATTGTCCTCCTTTTCATTTGTTTTTAATTTTTTTTTAATTTTATTTTTTTTTTGGGCAAAAACGCTTTTGCTTGTTTGTATAGTAGTGTTTAGATGTTTATTGACAACTGAAGGGACACGTGACATGTTTGGATTGGAGCGTATTTAAGTGGGGTTGGGCCACTTTGGGAATCCTATATGTGGTGAGACGGTGAGACATGCCTATTAGAGTGGGAGGGGGCAATTTGGTAATTTCAACCTGCTATGGGCTCAACATTTCCAAGTGAAGCTCATTTGGACGGTAGTGGCTTAATTAGCCTTTTTTGGACGGTAGTGGCTAATTTGCCCCAAAATCGTCTTCCCAAACGGCACTTTGTTTGTTTGTTTGTTTTGTTTTGTTTTGGTGCATATGAGAACCGCTATTCCCACTCTACTTTATTTCAAATACACTCATTTATTTGTCTTTATTATACATAGTTACATTAATATCATTTAACATAAAATACACTCTTTGAAAAAAATCAAAATACCAAGGTATTAATGTACCTATGTATGATAAGGACAGAGAATGAAATGTGTTTGAAGTAAAGTGGAATGAGAATAACAACTTCCTAATTAATTTGTTAAAATTTAACTCTATTAATAGCATCGAACCATGAATTTATATAATGTAAGAGAGAGAAGAATTGAAGAACCGACGTGTGATATCCCAAAATTTTTGGAACATAAAGGTAATACAGTAATTCAATATAATAAGGTTACACTAACAATAAAGGAAAATGAGTGAGAGCACGCCACAATTTTTCAAATTTTTTTTTTTTTTTTTTTCACCTCATTAGTGGTGGGTTAGAGCTACCAAATTAGTGATATGTAACATTGCTGAACAATAAACTTCACAACATAATTAAAAAATACAACTGATACTAATATTACAAAGAAAGTGTTTCTTAAAACAAATAAATATTATAAAAGGTTCAGGGAAAAAAAAAAACACTATGGTTTTTACAATTAAGTAAATCACATCTCCACAAATTCCTCTGGGTTGCTTTCTTCTTGGTAGAACTTATTGTCACCTGACAAGAAATGTTATGAGAATAGAATGTCAAGTTAAAAAACACACACACACACACCTACTTTCCATAATCGAATTCACCGATACACAGAACAAGTATGAAACAATAAAAAAACATTGGATACACACTGAGGCTTAGTTTGGGAAGATTGAAAAAAAGACAAAAAGTCAAAAAGTCACTATCCTATTTAAGTCACATCATCTTATTTAAGTCACATCACCTCTGTAACACATCACTTCAAACCCAACCCAAACCCAACCCAAACCCAACCCATATTTCATAAAAAGTCAAAAAGTGCACTTATTTAGTCTTCCCAAACTAGGCCTGAGTTAATCTGAACATCTAGAATCCCTCAAAAGAGATTGCTTCTCCCAACTGCAAGGATTGGAATCGTGTTATTCGAAACTTCCTTTTTTGTTATTTAACAGACCTTATCACAGATGGACCTCAAAAGAGATGGCCAAACACGGTGGTAAACACCCTGCATGTCCCAGCTCCTCAACCCAATCTTATGCCTCCAAAGCAAACCATCACACAGAGTCCAAATATACCCGTTTCATCCTATAATTAATGCTACAACTACTTGTTCAAGACATAATTCAAAGGAAAAATATCCCACCATCTGTTCGTTACTAATTCCAACCTATGCAATTATCTTCAAAGTCCCTCAAAAGAGATTGCTTCTCCCAACCGCAAGGATTGGAATCGTGTTATTTGAAACTTCCTTTTTTGTTATTTAACAGACCTTATCACAGATGGACCTCAAAAGAGATGGCTAAACACGGTGGTAAACACCCTGCATGTCCCAGCTCCTCAACCCAATCTTATGCCTCCAAAGCAAACCATCACACAGAGTCCAAATATACCCGTTTCATCCTATAATTAATGCTACAACTACTTGTTCAAGACATAATTCAAAGGAAAAATATCCCACCATCTGTTCGTTACTAATTCCAACCTATGCAATTATCTTCAAAGATGTTAAAAGTGACCACGAACCCCTCATTACCATCATTTAATGTTTCCCCTTTCATTTAGTTTGTTATGATATCAAACCAAGAAGTAGACGGGTCACAAACCATATTAAAGCACAAGTATACACCTTTACATTAGCTTTTGCAAAATTTTCATATTTGCAAGGGCTCAAAGATAGTTTTGGTAAAAATAATTTTGGGACTCGGCTGGTGATAACTCTTGGTGGGACCATAATACAATAAGTCTAGTTCCCTTTTCAATTTACAAAACCAGAAAACAATTTCTAAAACTCAATAAATTTCCAAATTACTACATTCTGTTCAAATTCGTCATACTTAGAAAAAAAATGAGTTTTCTCACAATCTATCCGACCATTCTTACTCAGATTCATTGTTACTTTGAAGGTTAATAACTTTACACATCTGCCCCACCCAGTTCTCTCTATTCTCTAAAACTCAAACCTTAAATTCAAATAAGCTAACACATTAATGTCCCAAAAAAAGATTCATCCACACAGAATTAGATGTAGCTCAAACATCGGAATTTCATTACTATTGCACTATATATATATAGCAAAAGAAATTAAACAAATCAAAACCTACATGACGGACAAAGAAAGCTTAACTACTCAACCAAACAAACAACCACCATAGTGTTGCATGCGAGTACCCTCAAACAGAACAAATATACATAAGAAAAAAAATTTCCTACATGACCAATGATATGAAGTTCTTATGATTTCTTCGAGAGTTGAAATATCTTAACGAGCACAATATTATCGAGAGAAAAAAACAGAAGATAAACAACAAATCCTATCCCATACAACTCCTAAATGTTCGAATTTATCCTCGAAAATTCTTGAATCTCTGTCCAACCAAATGAACCAACGCATGCGATTCCAAAGATCAAAGACATTTTTAGAACAAAAATGAATAGTAGTGCAAAACAACAACACGGAACTATCCAATAACAATCTAGAACTAAGCGTTAAAACTACAAGGCAATGAAGGAACAAATTATCAAACCTCTAAGCCTTTGGTTTAATCTGACAAAGGTAGATCTCTATGTTTGCACCTATAGGAGCATACAAAGAAACTTGGAAGATCTCAGATTCAGTAGCAGCAGGATCCTTGGCAGCAAACGTAATAAAATACTCCAGGCCACTGACCAGCCGTGCATTTGCCTTGTGGACCTTCACAAACTGGAAATTTGTGCTCTGCATTTTAAGAAGAAAAGTTCAGTAGGAGTAAATAAGAGTGATAACTATTAAACAAACAAAAACACAACTCCACATACATTTTTCAAGTTGAATTCAGCAATTGCCCTCTTTGAATAGCATTCAAGCTTCTTACGAAGTCTCTTGTCTAATTTCCCCAAAGGTCTTATAATACAATCGGAACAAGGGGGGAAAGCTTCAACATCAAACCCCTGTACAAATATACAAGATATAGCAGAAAATTATAATATTATACAGGAGATGAGAGAGACAGTTAATTAAGAAAAAATAAAATAAAATGATTATTATATATTTAACATATAATGTAATGTATATACATAATACTATCATATATGAAAACCTGATTTGGTGTGGCTCCATCATGTTTGCCCTCAAAAAAGTCATGCCAAGATGACTCATTCTTATATTTGTTTTCTTTAACGTAAAGGGGTAAAAATGTAATATCAAATCAAAACCCACTTTTAAAGAAAACTGTCACGCCTCATATCTTAAGAAGTTAATTAGGCGGAAACTAATTAAACCTTAGCGTAATTGTTTTCTCAAAAAAAAAGTCCAATGTCCATCATTAGTGCCAAAATGTATTCATTTCCTAAATTAGACACAAAATTTCCAATTTTTCTCACAAAATGAGCCATTTAAATAATTAGAGTGAAAGTACTAAAATCATGAATTAAGTATATAAATGGTCTCCAAAACCAATCTTCACTTGGTCTGAGAAACTTCGTCATTTATTATCTTTGAAGATATTCAATTTTAGATTTAACATAATCAACATCATTCCTGAATTTTAAAAAAATGACTTTGTTAATCGATTTTACTATTTATTTTACTTAACTGAAAATAAAATTCACTCAAATACTTGACCCAACTCACTAGTGTAAGTTTCCCGATGGAATGAAATGACATAAATGCAACATAATATTACAGATCATAGTTCCATCAAATGGAGTACAACAAAATAAGAGCACACAAACCCCCCCAAACACATTACAATCCAACGATTACAACAACAACAACAAAAAAATACAACGAAGCAAGGAATTCTACCCTCAAGCCGAAAGACTTCCACCAGTACCTATATGGTAGGGGGTGAGCAATAGACTAGCTCACCATAATAATCTCATATTATTACTTTAAAGATATGCAAATGTGGTGATACGATATATATAATGCAAATGCAATGCCAACTCTAGGATTCAGATAATTAATCTCATTAAGTCTATTTTGCTTTAATTAACTCACACTGAGTAAACTAAATAAATAAACTCAAAATCGATCACCAACAAGGCAATAACCCAGCCTTGCCAACACAAACCATGTCCTAAGAAGTACGGACACATGACACGGCACGGATACGCCGACGTGGTATTTTTAAAAAATGCAAGACACAACACGTGGGGACCACGAGCAGAATATATAATTTTATAGATTTATTGTGTCATAAATATAAATATATCATTCCAAAATAATAAATAAATTCAATATAACAATAATTTCAATAAATTGACATTGTTTTTCTTTTGTCATCGTATTCTAAGTTATTTTGTTCAAACTTATAATTAGTTTTATGTGCGTCTAATCAATTGATACGTGTGTTTAAGTAATGGACATGTGTGTCCTCTAAGTGTCCGAAGAGTATCCAAATCTTATATAATGCAAATGCAATGCCAACTCTAGGATTCAGATAATTAATCTCATTAAGTCTATTTTGCTTTAATTAACTCACACTGAGTAAACTAAATAAATAGAGAAACTCAAAATCGATCACCAACAAGGCAATAACCCAGCCTTGCCAACACAAACTATGTCCTAAGAAGTACAGACACATGACACGACACGGACACGCCGACGTGATATTTTTAAAAAATGCAAGACACAACATGTGGGGACCACGAGCAGAATATATAATTTTATAGATTTATTGTGTCATAAATATAAATATATCATTCCAAAATAATAAATAAATGCAATATAATAATAATTTCAATAAATTGACATTGTTTTTCTTTTGTCATCGTATTCTAAGTTATTTTGTTCAAACTTATAATTAGTTTTATGTGCGTCTAATCAATTGATACGTGTGTTTAAGTAATGGACATGTGTGTCCTCTAAGTGTCCGAAGAGTATCCAAATCTAATTTTTTTCTTTTTTAAATTAAGACACGTTTGGAAGAGTGTCTGGAAATGTTCGATGAGTGTCGGTATCCGACATGGACATGCCACCTTTTTATTAGTGTCTGTACTTCTTAGACCGCATCCAAGCCATAATATAACACATATCAATAACATTTGCGAAATAATGAGAGACAATGGTAGGTGTTTTGATTAGTAATGCCGCGCACAAAAAGGACCAAACACAGACACTGCAGGGCTGGACGACCAGCCAGATGACCAGGTGGTCGATCGGCCAAAGCTTGTCGACCGCAGCTCTCATCTTGTCAACCGCAGCTATCATCTTGTCATCTGGTCAACCACCCAGTCATCGGGACAGATGTCCAGCCCTGCAGTTTCTGTGTTTGGTTCTGAGTTTGATTCTCTATGGGTGTAGCATTATTGGTGTTTTGATGCGTAATGAGAAGACTACAAGAAGCCACCTCATTCGCCATAGAAATTCTGCACAAATTTCTGATTGTATGTCCTTATTGTAATTTAATTACACAAGTTCCAAACCAAAGAATATAGTAATTTAATTAGACTATAAAGGGTAATGCATGTAATTAATTAATTATCACTAACAAACAAATTACCCTCTCTTTTCATTTGTTTTTTCTTCTTTCATTTGTAATTAATTATCACTAACAAACAAATTATCACTAACAAGCAATATAGTAATTTTTCTTCTTTTTTTCCCGTCTTTACACCACGTAGCCACACAGTTCCAACAATCAATCACAAAAGCAACACAATCAATAAGACATCTCCAACTTTTATTATTAATTTCTTCAAATTCCAAGTTCTTAACTCTTATTAGCAAGTTATCAAAATAAAATCAAGAGATTAAGAAGAAAAATTGCACAAATTTTAATTTATAAACATTGTAATATATATATATACACACACACACGTACCCCGCTCTCCTCGACCTGTTTGTTGTACCTCAAACTATCCTCATGCGTCATCTCATCTTCCTCTTCTATCTCAAAATACTTGTAGGGAACCAATGTAACCTCGTTGTCATCATCATCACCCAATTCCTGCGTTTTCGGCGATGGTTGTTTTTGTTCCGGAGAGGTTTCGGATCCAGAGGTACGAGTAGCAGACATATCTTTGACAGATTTTGGAATTAGGGTTAGTGAAAGAAAGATGAAGATGATGAGTGTTTGAGGAATTTGTGTTTTTGGGATGGCTATTTTTAGTTCTATTTGAGGTAAAATAGTCCCTAAAATAAAATATTTAATTATATTGCTTTTTATGTTAAATTGAATTTTAATTTTAATTTTGATTTTGATTTTTAGAATTCACTTTTTAAAAAATTAAAAAAAAAATTTAATATTTTTTTAATGAATGTTTTTAATATTTTAAATATTTTTACAAATTTTAAGAATTTTTAAAAATTTTATATACACTTAAAAAATATAATATTTATGAAAAAAAATTTAAAAAATTCACTAAATACTAAAAATACAAATATATATAAATTCAGCACATTTTTATTTTTCTTGTATTTATTAATTTTTTACAAATATTTTACTTTTAAATATATTTATATAAGGTGCATCTAAAAAAAATTAAAAAATACTTAATATTTAAAAAATATTCATTAAAAATACAAAAAAAAAAAAAACTCAACTTTTAAAAAATTAAAATCAAATGCACTGAATAATTGATTGCTAAACGAGTTGATTGAATGAGTTGATAAGAAAGATAAAAATAAAATAAAATAAAAATTTCCTTATGGGTGTAAATTAGGTGATGGAGTGGGATGAGACCAAAGTTAGTTATTTTTGGATCTTTCATTTTTTTTTGAATATTCTGCTACAAAATTTAAGATTGAATTTTTAATTTTTTTTTTAAATCTTTCACATCTATATTTATAGAAGTAAAAAAGAATTTTTAACCACAATCCTTATGCTGTCATGCTAAATTTCTTAATTTTTTTAATTTTAAATAATTTGAAAATTTTCCATTGACTAATTTTCATTTAATCATATATAAAAATAGAACTCTAATTACTCATGATTTATGGATTTTAAAAAGAAAATATACTAATTCTTTTCAAAATGCATATTCATGTTGCTACTAAATATAGGAAGCAATTCACCATATTAGAAAAACAAAGATGTCAAATTTTAAATATTTAAAATTTAATATTTCAGTAGAATAAATTCTCAAATATCTTATTCTCTCTGTCACATAAAAAATAAAAAAGAAGAATACACACAAAATTAAAAATAATAACAATTTCAATTATGTTTATATCTATCTATAACAAAAAGCCTTACCTGGGTACGTATTTGTTAGTTTGTTAATTGTAATTCACTTAATTAAAAATAAAAGCTTAGCACAACGGTTCATATATATTATAATAGTTAATTTGTTACCGCTATAGCTATAGATAATAGCATATAATAAATACTGATAATCTCTTAACATAATTTCTACTCTTCTTTTTTTTTTTTATGTGATTGAAATAGTCTATAAAGCCTTCTAGTCAAATCTCAATTTAGTTCCGTACATATAAAATCGTGACAGTCAATCCCTTGTATTTCTGGTCAAATGTCAATTTTCTTGTAACGCTCTGAAATAAATACAATAGACCATCCAAACGATAAGTAAATAACATTATAAATCAGAGTAAAGTATCCTTCTATTACAAGAGATTCGATTGTACAAAAGGGCAACACATGCGATATACATTCATAAATGGGACACCCTAAATCTATAGCATGTGTTACCAAACCACAATAATGTAATAAAAGCTAAACAATTAATCATATTGTCACGACCCGAACCCGCCCCTATAAGTTTAGCGTCATAACTAGCCAGTAATCCATGATTACTGAAGGCCTGTTTAACAATAATACAATATAAAAGGACTGGCGGAAGCCAATCAATAATAATATACATTGTCCAATGAGCTGTGAGGACCTGAATGGAAATAAACTTTCATATACATAGTTATATACACAAACACTTATGTCCATAAAGGTCATATATACAAGACAAAACACAATGTAGAGAATTAAATCCCATTATCGAAAACAGTATTAACAAAAGTCATAAAACATTCATTTCACTTAACCAATATCAAAGGGGTGAATTTGAACCACCCAAAAAGCCTTGACACATGTTGGTTCAGAACCTTGCGATGAGACACAATAGCTGGCTTGACAAAACAAGGGTTCGAGTTGACGCCACTAGCTTTGATCCGGTGTTCAATCACCTACATATATATATAACTGTGCGGGGAGCAAATATTCAGGCAAGCCCGCACTCCTTTCTTCCAAGCTCCTGTCTGTCTGATCGACCTACGAGCACAACGGCGGTGAGCTACCCGGCGGTGTGTGGCCGAAAAACCCCTCCGACGATCAAGTTAGAACACACACATAGGGGATAGATAGAGAGAAGGGAGAGTCTTGTGTTTAGTGTTTATCTCACCAAAAAATGTCCTGTCCAAAGCATGGGGGCGCAGACTTGCTTATATACCTTCTGCGCCCCAAATCTACTCCCAGTGACCTCTCGACACGTGGTTCTGCTATCCCATCTGTCAACATAAACCTCGCTGAGCACCACCTAACCCAATTGCCTGCCCATTCTCTTGGGAGCTCGACAGCCGGGCAGTACCATCTCGGCCATCGTCTGCTATGCTGCGCTTCCTGCCCAAGTACTCCAACAGCTAAGCTCAGATGAGGACCGGACTCGGCGGCATCTCGGCAAAGCCGAGCTCGGGACAACTCACGCTTGTCTGCGGTCGACCTACCTGCCGAGCAAACAGGTACCTTGGTCCAACCTTGCCTTTCCTAGCGTTGGACTTTTCACCTGACCGGCTTCGTAACCACGGATCCTTGCAGCTCGGTCAATCCACGCGCTGCCTTAACCGAGTAGCTTCCTTCAAGGCCGAGCCACACAACTCGACCCAACACCTGTTCGGCCCAAATCTGTCCGGCCCAACTCTGTCCGGCCCAATTCCATATCATTAATCTCCCTCTCAATTGCCCTTTAATTCCGTCCGCTGAAGCGTGACTGGGATTACCTATCCTGACCGGGGTAATACTTCCTCGGTCCTCAGTATGCAAGACGGTGACCGCACTAAGAAGGTAAGCAAGGTCCGCTCCACGACTTCCTTCTTGGCGAGCAAGATCAGCTCGACCAAGGAACTCCAAAAAAGGCGAGCAACATCAGCTCAGTCAAGGAACTCCGAGGAAGGCGAGCAAGGTCCACTCCGCGGCTTCCTTCTTGGCGAGCAACATCAGCTCGGCAAGGAACTTCCAAGGTCGGCGAGCAAGGTCCCCTCCGCGACTTGCTTCTTGGCCAGCAACATCAGCTCGGCCATGGAATTCCAAGGAAGGCGAGCAAGGTCCGCTCCGTAACTTCCTTCTTGGTGAGCAATATCAGCTCGGCAAGGAACTTCCAAGGTCGGCGAGCAAGGTCCGCTCCGCGACTTGCTTCTTGGCGAGCAACATCAGCTCGGCCAAGAAACTCCGAGGAAGGTGAGCAAGGTCCGCTCCGCGACTTCCTTCTTGGCGAGCAAGGTCCACTCCGCGACTTCCTTGAACTTCCAAGGTTGGCGAGCAAGGTCCGCTCCGCGACTTGCTTCTTGGCGAGCAACATCAGCTCGGTCAAGGAACTCTGAGGAAGGCAAGCAAAGTCCGCTTCGCGACTTCCTTCTTGGCGAGCAACATCAGCTCGGCAAGGAACTTCCAAGGTCGGCGAGCAAGGTCCGCTACGCGACTTGCTTTTTGGCGAGCAACATCAGCTCGGCCAAGGAACTCCAAGGAAGGCGAGCAAGGTCCGCTCCGCGACTTCCTTCTTGGCAAGCAACATCAGCTCGGTTAAGGAACTCCGAGGAAGGCGAGCAAGGTCCGCACCGTGACTTCCTTCTTGGCGAGCAACATCAGCTCGGCAAGGAACTTCTAAGGTTGGCGAGCAAGGTCCGCTCCGCGACTTGCTTCTTGGCGAGTAACATCAGCTCGGTCAAGGAACTCCGAGGAAGGCGAGCAAGGTCTGTTCCGCGACTTCCTTCTTGGCGAGCAACATCAGCTCGGCAAGGAACTTCCAAGATCGGCGAGCAAGGCCCGCTCCGCGACTTGCTTCTTGGCGAGCAACATCAGCTCGGCCAAGGAACTCCGAGGAAGGCAAGCAAGGTCCGGTCCGTGACTTTCTTCTTGGCAAGCAACATCAGCTCGGCAAGGAACTTCCAAGGTCGGCGAGCAAGGTCTGCTCCACGACTTGCTTCTTGGCGAACAACATCAGCTCGATCAAGGAACTCCGAGGAAGGCGAGCAAGGTTCGCTCTGCGACTTCCTTCTTGGCGAGCAACATCAGCTCGGCAAGGAACTTCCAAGGTCGGCGAGTAAGGTCCGCTCCGCGACTTACTTCTTGGCGAGCAACATCAACTCGGCCAAAGAACTCCGAGGAAGGCGACCAAGGTCCGCTCCACGACTTCCTTCTTGGCGACCAACATCAGCTCGGCAAGGAACTTCCCAGGTCAGCGAGCAAGGTCCACTCCGCGACTTGCTTCTTGGCGAGCAACATCAGCTCGGCAAGGAACTTCCAAGGTCGGCGAGCAAGGTCCGCTCCGCGACTTGTTTCTTGGCGAAGCAGCATCAGCTCGGTCAAGGAACTCTGAAGGAAACGGCGAGCAAGGTCCGCTCCGCGGACTCCTTCTTGGTCGAGCAACATCAGCTCGGCAAGGAACTTGCAAGGTCGGCGAGGCAAGGTCCGCTCTGCGGGTCTCCTTCTTGGCGAGCAAAACATCAGCTCGGCATAGGAACTTCCAAGGTCGGCAGAAGGTCCGCTCCCGCGATCTTTGCTTCTTGGCGGCAACATCAGCTCGGCCAAGGAAACTCCAAGGAACGGCGAGCAATAAGTCCGCTCCGCGACTTCTTTCTTGGCGAGCCAACAATCAGCTCGGCAAGGAACTTCCAAGGTCGGCGGGCAAGGTCCGCACCACGACTTGTTTCTTGGCGAGCAAACATCATCTCGCAGGAACTTCGAGGAAGGCGAGCAAGGTCCGCTCCGCGTTCCTTCTGCGAGCAACATCAGCTCGGTAAGGAACTTCCAAGGTCGCGAGCAAGGTCCGCTCCGCAACTTGCTTCTTGGCGAGCAACATCAGCTCGGCCCAAAGGAACTCCATGAAGGCGAGGCAAGGTCCGCTCTCGCGACTTCCCTTCTTGGCGAGCAAGATCAGCTCGGCAAGGAACT